ATTAAAAAGAGTTGTTGGTGGTTTAGTTGGTTTTTATCCAGGAGAGGGACAGAGAGGGACTAGGGAGGAGTAAGGAGGGTCGGTAGGGGTAAGGATTGTAGGGAGGGCTAAAGAAGAGTTAGGGGAAGCAGGGATGGTAGTAAAAAGGCAGGTAATGTACAGGGAGGAGAATGAGAGGGGTGGCGAGGAAACGGGGAGGGGCAGGGAGACGAAGGGTGTGGTGGTAAGAATGGGGGTAGGAAGGAGAAGGGAAGACCATGGAGTGGTAGGGAGTACATAAGGACGGGAAGGAGTAGAGAGGAAATATAATACCCTTAAAAAAAAAATCCAGCTCCTTGTTACGTATAGGTGCTATTTCTCATTATCTGCATGTCATCGTAATAGGTTGCAACATAAATGTGATTGGGGACCTACTCTGTATTTGACTTTTACATTTCACCTTCTGCCCTCGATCTTGTCATCATAATTATCAAACTGTTTCGTTTTCGCATGCAATCACAGCTGTTTCTGCTATAATAATTACATAACCACAAGTGGGACTCGACAAGGTTTGTTCGTTCGTTGTTTAATCCATTATATTAGTTAAATGTTATTATCACATAAACAAATTTAGGGCATGTTTTTCAGCACCTCTTCAGTGGCATGTTTATTCCTATTGTCATGTTGTGGTCGAGTTGTCTGTATCGATTACCTGTGTAGCAGGAAAATCCTCCCGGCATACACCTTTCCGGTATGGTTAGTCACGTGACCTGCATTGTCATGATACATACAGAATGACATAGAATCGACGAACTTTTAAGAAAAGTGAGACAATGATAGGGAAAGAAAAGACAAACTGAGTGACTCTTTATTCCCAATTTCATCATACCTGAAATTATTTCCTTATTATTGGGTTACTTGTTGAGGTATACATTGTGTTGCCAGTAACACTCGTTTCAAGAAAATTTGATATGCTGTCCACTCCCTCACCCCTCCCCCCCCCCCCCCACAAAAAACAAGCGTCTCAACTCGTTAGCTCTCCTCAGTCATGTCAATAGTCCCGATGTATAAAGAAAGAAATATATGCAAACACAATTCTAATGTAATTTGTCTTTTGTTTCTACGTAAACAAATAATATTCGTTGTCCGTCTTTTAGCTTAAATCGTTGCTCATTCACGAATGACATGATTGAGTTCTGACTCGAACAAATCGTCATAAACAGGGGTAAACTGAATCACATCATTCTCCCTTTCTTCCTTTGCCATTATCAGACCTTCCTTTGCCATTATCAGACCAAATCAAATAGACAGTGTTAGAGGGCAATGCAGTTCAATGCAACTGTATTACTACCAGGGAGGTTTTTTAAAAGCACTGAACATTATAATCTGTCAAGGAAAACACCTAGGCCTATACGAAGTGTATACGATTTCCTTGGAAGCAAGCTCATCTTACCCTGTCAATTTACTCGAGATGGATGGGACCTACCACGGGTCTTCGAATCATCTTCACCGGAGGAGTCCCATCGGGAGAATGCATCAAGTACATTGCTGGAATCGTTGACCCAGCCCGGGGATCGCATCCCAACTTGATGCATCCTCCTTCCAATATTCGCCTCCCACTGTTCTCATGAGATGGGTGAATCTTTAGTTATACCATTACCAACATGGATGACCCGGTGCTGGTACCCAGGTATATTATATTCGAGTATATTTGAATCTCGACTCGGTGCATCCTTCTCCTTCTTCCTCTCTCTCCTATCATAATCATGAATCTTTCGCCATGTAGTCAGTTATTAAGAAAAAACAAGAAATCAAGACAAATTGAGCTAGTGATGGGATCGTATCCCAACTTTAATTCCTCTTCACCCTCTTCCAACCCTTCATTAGATGAATGAAATGTTCAGTTACCATGATACCACGGGGACATATTTTGAAGCTTAGTGAGGGTAGGATGAGGTCGCATCACATCTTGATGCATCCTCCTACCCTTATCATAAGATGGATGATGTCTGTTACCATTACCCCAGGGAACTTGGGTGATAAAGTGATGGCATTGGTATATATAATTATATATTCCTATATGGCCATTATCATTATCGGTGATGATTATTGTTCGTTACCTTTATCGAAGGGAACGTTGGGACTTATGACACCCATATTTAGACATCACCTTCTTATCTCTGATTAGTATGATTAGGGGATGAGTCTTTACATTATGATAGAAGTCATGACGAATTTGAAAAGGGCATGTGGAGACATATTATATCTACGTTCCATTTATTTCAAAATTATGCTTCAGGTGAACTGAATAAAAACACCAAGTAAACTTTTATGTTTATACATCCATCTTAAAGGTATTACAAAGTTTTGGTATGGGGTCATGAATTTGGTTCAAATTAACATATTGGAAGCATAATTATGCGTTCCTACAATATTCATTGATCGTTGTCGCGGTTGAAATTGAGTCTAAAGTTTTGAAATTATAAATAATAAACTCTTTATGTTGTATAGCTCCCTCTCAAGGTCAAGATATTAATTTAGCTATGAAACAATGTTTCTTGACTAAAATCGACCGATTAGCTATTCCCGTTTGGAAATTATATATCACAACTACATATTCTGAGATTTTCATGGTCGCAGCTACCATTGTACGGCCATAGGCGCTATTTGAAATTCATCAAAATTTACCGGGAGCACCGGTAAATTTGTATATTTAATTTTTCTCGAAAACAGAAGTGTTTTAAGGGCTAATTTTTTTAGTGCTTATAATTCATCCCCAGGGGCATCCAAATATATCAAAATTGTAAAGATTCACTATCCACCCAATTTTCAAAATTTCCCAAAACTTTGTATTACCTTTAAAAGATACTTTCTTTTTTAATTTAAACTTTCTAGAACACAAGTATCTATGGCAACCATTATTGTGTGCATAATTATTTGTAAAAATGTAGATAGGTGAATCAGAGAACCGTGACAAAATAGGATAACAAAATCAGTGTGTTCTTTGCCACCCACGAAAGTTTGGAAAACTAAAAAGTTTGTTGTATATTACATTACAGAGTCAATGTATCCTCATGTCCTCAATTGCCCTTTAAATTGACACCCATTACCCTCCCATTAAGCCTTCTCCTTTCTTCGAACCCACGTGATTTAAGAGTAAGGATGTTACCAAGAACCCATTGGCCACATGCCGTCAAGGAAGAAGATCTCTAGCTCACCTTTGAACGGGGGAGGGGGGGGGGGTATTTAGACCTCTTTGAAATATTAGGGGTGGCGTGGTCTGAGTAAATGTATGTCTATCGAATGATGATTATAATATATTCAACAGTTGTTTACTATTAAGAATAAAAAGGTTAATAACATTTGCGATTTGCCAATAAGCCACCACAACAAAATTGCTTGTTTTACAATTATTTTGGGATAGTTATAGACAAGCTTTTTTTAAAAATTGTATTATGTATTTCATGATAGTAATCTTGTGGAGAGGCAGTGAATCACTTCATTGGCCCACCGAAACTCTCGGAATAAGTGATAGGTATGGATTTTGTTCACATTTTGCAGCGTCTATACAAAAATATGAACATTTGACGGACCAACCAAACAAAAATGAATCGGGGCGGGGGGAGGGGGGGGGGGACACCCCACATCCCCTCGGGCGACGCCCCTCCTTGGAAGTCCAAATTGCAGGAAGAATTTGAGTGTTTGGCATACGATCTTGGCAATGACCTAGCCCACGCTGAGATCACAGTATCACGTCGAACCGTCTTCATGTTTCAAAATAAATAATATTATCAGGATCAGGTAATCAACTTGACGTATGCTTTTAGTATCAGTTACACAACATGGTGATATATAATGAGCACGGTTAGGAAAGCGAAATTAATAGCATTTACATTAGTTCTGTGCTTAATCGTTTTCCCTTCTGTCTTGCAAAACAATGGCATTTGTTATCACGGTATTTAGTCTGATTTAGTACGTCCAACGTCAAACATGCTTGGTTCTGTATCATTTAAAAAAAAATATATTACCGACCCAGAGCAATGGTTGGTTTTTCATTGACGAGTAATTGATTATATTGAGCAAAATGTGTTAATGGTGCTTGCGACATGCATCAGCAGAGCTTTTCATATTATGCGGGTCGAATCATCTATGTCATTGAAACTCGTGCAAACTAAATCAATATGCGAGCCTCAGTTGATACAATGAGCATTAACAATTTAATTGTCGAGGTATATACCTGTTGCTGAAAACATAAGTCATTGTACCATAGTACCACCAGCATGACTAACAGTTTGTTCTTCGCTATTTCGAAATCAAATTGGCAACCTTCAGGTATATGGATGCCATTGGCCTATTTCGGGAGATAACATGACCTGCGGTATCTTTTTCATGAATTAACTGTGGGAAAGGGGGGGGGGTTCCCCTTTTAAAATGCGCCCCTAAATCACTCGATGATAAATGCTGATTCTGTGAAAAGGGTTGGAGCCCTGTCAACTGGTTTGTGGAATGGAGCAAAAACTGGGTGTCGATATCATATGTCACATGCATGAACTAAAGGCAATGACAACCGCATTAAATGACTAGTGGAACTGGTGCCAATGCCACCACGTACACAGTCAAAATCTGCTCAAAAATAGGCCAGCATAATGATCCATGTCATTTTCATGGCCGTGGCTGTATTGTGCAATTTAATTTTGGGGGCGGGGTAGAGGACACTTACCTGTTTAAATCTCCATCATGTGTACACATCGTCGTAATTTGCTGTAAAAGTGCATGCCGATTATGATTTCAAAGGAAACTTTACAACAGGGTAACTGGGGCACATTAAAGATGCAACCGTCAACAACCAATACTATGATTAGGCTTCGTGAGTTTACATTACCCCCCATATACCCCCATTTCGCTGCACCTTTATCATATTTATGCCCGCATCCTGTTAACTTTGAAAACAAACGAAAAAGAATCAGCGGAAACAAGCCGAGGTAAGCTCCCTTTATCATCGGTTGATTGTGAGAGAGTTGATATACCTGCAGTTTGTTTCTGGCCTCCACGCAGTGCTGTTGTGGTAACTTTGGACTAATTGGAATTATATCTCAATAACGTTGTAACATCGACTGGTACTCATGTATAGCGCCGTGAACAGGGATAGGAATGTTAGTGTTACAGTGGTGGACATACCGCCAGAAAATGATGACTATTCGGGTAAGAAACAAATATCAGTATTAATTATTCCGCAATTAAACAAATTATTATTACGTTCTTCTTATGCGACAGATTTTGGTAACTGTTTCAGTTTCACTGTTGGTTTCGCACTGCCCTTTTCCTCTGCGTTATGAAACGGTTTATCAAGTTTTTTGGGGTGTGTTACTTTTTCCAAGATGATGGCATTGACTTTGCGTTCACAAAAAGAGTCAAGATGCATCTTGGTATATGTAAGAAATCTGTTTGATAATCAAATGAACATGACAGACATTTTGTAGCCTACCCTGCGTGCTTAACCATTACTCTTTTTGAGGGGGCACAATTTGTCTTCAATTATACATTTAAAGATAATTGTCATGATCTTTAACAGAATGTTTTTTCTTCCTATCATTAATCGAATAAATTAATTTGTACACATCAATACTCAGACGAAACTCTGGTCGTTGTCGGTGGTATTAAAGTAAAACAATTCGTGGGTGATGCGTACCATAGAACAAACAAAAATGAAGTCATATATTTTATAAAATTAACCTCCTCTTGTTCCCTTAACTAAGGAAGAGCAGTTTTCCGAAAATCTTTGTATAATATTTGAATGTTTTCTTTGTTTAATTTACCACAAACTTAATAATTGCGTCAGGTAGCAACTCCTCCCCAGAAGAAAAAAAAAACCGTTTCTGTAAATTAATTACGATCTTGTCCTCAATTTTGCTGCTGGTTCGCAGACCAAGCACGAAACCATCTCTGTACCTGCTGACAACAACCAATCGAACTATGTCTGTCTCAAATTAACCCTGGCATTTCACCACCAGCTATTCTCACTAATGAAGGCTCAATTGGTGTTCCAAAAATAGCGCAGTTCAACAGACCTTTTAGATTGCATACATGAAATGACAGCTTTGATGATTATGAAATTCATAATGGTGATAGGCTTACATGGAATGAATAATAATGCAGCGAAAATGAATGACTTAATAACTGATCAAAACTTATAAATGGTGAAGGTTTGTATTACAATCACACCATTTAGATTAATTTCAACCTATATTTACTGAATTTTTTAACAAGTTTTTCCTGAGACATCTATCGTGTTCGTATCCAAGTCTCAATTTCGCCACTACTTAACTATTACGTAGTCATGTCATGTGTACGACACCTCATTGCTGTGCACATGACTTGGCGACCGTCAATTTTCCTGTTCACAATATTCACGAACAAAATATGATACAAGTGATGGCGTATGATTCATATTATATCCTGTAATAAATGGCATGTGTGGTTTTTCTTGTAACCCGTTTCCCCTGCTGCCATTACTGCTCTTTCAGACGTTATTATGCGTGTCTTTTGCTGACCATATAAAAAAAGTATCTTGACCCCGAATGAAAAACTAGATAGGAAGAATAAGATGGGGTTGGGGATATGAATAGTACAGTCATAGACGTAGGTATATAATATGGTATCGAAGCATTTCAGAAAGATGATAAAGCAAGGGACAAATCTAGTTGTAAGATTTAGTATGTCACATTATCAAGAAACATAAATCGGCAGAAAACACCCTTTTCCCATACTTAAACGGTTACAAAACTTGGCAAGGGCATGAATAATTTAGTTGGTAACTGTATGTAGGCATATAGAGACTGTCTCTATGAAAGAATTTCAATACCAGTACTCCAGCTCCTCTCAGACGCTTCTCTTTTTTCTTTTCTTTTTTTAAATATAATACCCTGGATACGTCTTGCGTCTTTTATTCCTCATGGCATTGACAATATACGTAATCAAGGAAAGTTCGCCATCTTTTAGTTTCACTCGGTGCAGACCAATTATCTATTACAGATGTTTCTTCAATTGTATGGTAATTATCATTGGCGTATCCACGCATTTAAGTTCAGGAGGGGGGGGGGGGCAAACCATATCAGTTGGCTATGAAAGTTAAGCAAGGAAATTATTTTTAAGCCCTGCTTTGTGTTCCGGTGGTGGGGGGGGGGGGTATTTTGAAAAGAAAAAGAAAAAAGTATATTACAAGTGCAGTGACTTATGATTCCCTTATAAGCTAATTACAACTATATTGAAAGTTGGCTGTTTCCCCAGGGAGAGGGGGGGGGGTATATGTCTGGGGGGGGGGGGATTTCCCCCATTGCTTCCTCCTTCAAATACGCTAGTGCATTGTAATTATCAGTATTGGTTTCGGTCTTCATACGATCTGATGCTTAATCCTTCTCGGTACTCTGAATCTCGTCTCCTGAAATGCCAAACACGATATCCCAGCTATCGCTAGGTCAGTCAAGGTATTGATAGAAGGAGTGGTCTTTAGAGATCAATGCGGTTCTACGATCGGGGGAAGAAGAGACGCAGCTTGACCTTTTGTAGATCATGGCTTTGTACTCACGAATCACTTTTGCTTCAAACGTGTGCCCAATGATGCAGAATTTAACATTTTAAATTAGTTCATTACTGTGTCTTTTCTAGTGAGGCCTCGCCACGTGTTCAGATTTGCACATTTTGAGGTTCAGATTTGCCTTCGATATTTGGATTACTGTTACCATACTGTTCAGGTTGATTTTTTTTGTATATAAAAACAATACAGTTTTGATGAGCCTAACAAAACAGGTCAAATTTCTCTGATTTTTAAAAATGCGGTCATATCTTTACGTAGTATTATTATTTAGAGTAAACGTTTTCGTTGTGGTTGTTTTTGAGAAGTTGTTCTATTTCCAAAACATGAACAGGAAGACATTCGATTTACTTATAACGTTGATTCCTGTTGTGATTACAGTAAATTGATTTCTAAGTGAACATGAAACACAGAATAACGCCTTATTTCGTTGACAACATGAATAAACCACGATGGTGGTACAATCTATTGTTCTTCTAAAATCTAAACCATCCGACAGAACAATATCCTTTTCCTGTTTGAGTGTTTTTAGAACTGAAAGTAGTTTTGAAGTGGATGGAAGACACTCATGGATGAGCTCTTTTTGTTTTGTCAACAAACATGTTTTCATTTCGATCTTTTTTTTCTTTGCGAGGATTTTAAAAAACATGGGCAACCATCTCTAAGGGAACATCAACATGAAGTTTGGCATTCATGCTCCCCTCATGCTGCGCAGCAGTGGCGTAGCGAAGGAGGGGGGGGGGGGCGCGCGAAGGGCCCCGATCAGAATGAAGGAAAAAAAGACAGATGAAATGAGAGAAGAATGAGAAAAGAAAGAAAGAAAGATAGAAAGATAGAAAGAAATAGAGGGAGAAAGAAAGAGAGAGATAAAGGGAGAGAGAGATAGAGAGAGAGAGAGAGATGAGGGAGGGGGGGGGGGGGGAGAGCTCCCCCCCGCCCACTCAGCGGCCTTGCTCTATCGCTTTTCATCAACCCATTAACATCGTTACCCACCCCTCCCCCCCCCCAATCACACAAAGTACCCCTTAAATTATACGACCCAGGCTACGCCACTTGCATTGCAATATCTGAATTTAAAAATAAATCGAGTCGCAGCGGGAATGACTCGGCTCGTGGTCCCAGGGAATCATAAGAGGCTGTTTAAAATGTCACCTCCCCTGTAACCTCATGTCACTGCGCCGTCGTTATGGACATGAGCGGAAGGGTTTCGTCCGTCCGATTAACCGTTGAGTGACATACTCTATGTTGGCTTGGTAATGCGATGTAATATGGCTGCGTGGAGAGCTGAAGATTAATTTGGGAACGGAAACGGGGGGAGGGGCGTTGAACCATTTTTTTTTTTTACAGAGAGAGAAACTTGAAAGAGAGGGAGACAGACGGACAGAGGCATAGATATCAAGAGAAAAGGAGAGAGTAAAAGGAGAGAGGAAAGGGAGAGGATGGGAGTCAAAACTTGTGTGTTGCGTGTGCGTGTGTGAGTGTGTTTGAGAGAGAGAGAGAGAGAGAGAGAGAGAGAGAGAGAGAGAGAGAGAGAGAGAAAGTGGGTAGGGGGGCTAGACTGTGATGGTCGGAAAAAAGAGACGGACATACCAGTACAAGGAAAAGAAACTGAAATGATTTTGAGAAGGGATCAGTGAAATTAAAATTAAATGCAAAAGTTGACATGAGCTTCGTTTCATCTTAAAATATAGTTGAAAATTTCCCAGTATCTATTATTAGAGGAAATCTCTTTTAGAAACCTCGTTTGTTCATGTAACATAATCAAGTTGACCTACTTCGGATATTATATTGAGAGCAGCTCTTTTATTTCAAGGGAATTTTGTTTTAAAGCTTGTTACACTGTAAGTTAATAGAGCCTATACATATTGTCCCAGTAGAGTGTTGTTGTGATGCATTAGCAATTAACATAACACCACACTTTCTCGATTTAGCTACATAAGAGATACCAGCATATCAAACGCGTTTAGTTCATGGTCAGTTTCACCCAGGCTAGATTAGCCTTGCTACCAGGAACGATGTTTTTCCTTCAATTTTTATGTGTGTAACGTTTGAAAAATTTGGTTGCAATAATTGCAATGGAGAACCAATTGATTGGCCATTGGCCATGCATAATCGTTTCATGAAAATACAATTGTCATCCTGTCTGCTCCTGTCTGCTCTACTTTTCTCTTCTCTTTTAAAGCTGACTGTTATTAAAACAAAATGAAAATGATTAATTTAACGCTTTATTCGCACAGTGGCATCATTTTGGCGCCACTCTCTGCTGTTGCTTCTTCCTCCTCCTTCCATACTTTTTCTTTGGAAAAAAGGGGGAATGATTCTCATTTTCTCTGAATAATTATTTTGCCCTACGTGGTTCAGTTATCGATATCAAGCCTGAACCAAGACTATTTGGTGATAGCATGGTGTTGCATGGTGGTTTGAGCAGGCTTCATGTAAACACTTCGACCCATCTCCCCGAGTATTCCCGAGAAACCTTCCTCCATCCAGCTTCTGCATATCAGGTGTCTTCTGATGCTAGCCCTTCTCTACCCGACTGAATGTGTTCACATTGATGGCTCAGTGGTAGAGCAGTTTTCCCGTCACTAGAAGGTCCAGAGCTCGAATCCCC